TTCTTTCTTTCTTTCTTTCTTTCTTTCTTTCTTTCTTTCTTTCTTTCCTTCCTTCCTTCCTTCCTTCCTTCCTTCCTTCCTTCCTTCTTTCTTTTCTTTTCTTTTCTTTCTTTCTTTCTTTCTCTCTCTCTCTCTCTCTCTTTCTTTTTTTTTTGAGACAGGGTTTCTTTGTCCTGGACTTGCTTTGGGACCAGGCTGGGTTTGAACACACAGAGACTCTCCTGCCTCTGCCTCCCCGAGTGCTGGAATTAAAGGTGTATACCACCATGTCCGCCTGTGGTAGCTTTCTAAACAAGGATGGCCCCAAAGGTCCCCTCCCTACTCTGGAGGAGTCAAACCTCCCATATGAAGGCAATTTATTCACTAGCTGTGGTTAAGTTGACTGAAGGTTCTTCTTTCAAAGGTTCTTCATAGTAACTCTATTTATACTATTACAAAATATAGACCAGTCGTCCTCATCTCTTTCTAAAGGCAAGCTAAACTTCTATAGTCCTAGTAGCATCAAAGAGTGAAATGCCTAGCCTTAGGTAATCCAATATCTATCCTTGAGATTACAGCTAAATATCCAGTTTTATCTTGGGCAGCCACATATCATCTCTGTGTATAGTTTATTCAAGTTATAAAAAGTGCAGAGTTTGTTAAGACAGTTGTATGTTAGTACTCTAAAAAGCTAAATGATTGACTGGATTGAGGCTTGGACTCAGTGCTTGCCTAGAATGCCCAAGACCCCGAGATCTATCTTCAGCTGCACACTTACAAACTTTAGGCATTTAGTGAGAGCAGTTAGCTTTGTGAAGGAAGATGTGGATTATAATCAGGGAGACTTCAAATGAATTTCTTTTTTTTTAATTTTATTTTTCTTTTTAATTACATTTTGTTAACTCTGTGTCCCAGCTGTATCCCGCTCCCTCATTCCCTCCCCAACCCCACACTCCCTCCTTGGTCTCCTCCCTGCCCCTTTCCAAGTCCACTGATAGGGGAGGACCTCCTCCCCTTTCATTTGACCCTGTTTTATCAGGTATCTTCAGGGCTGGCTGCAAAGTCCTCCTCTGTGGCCTAACAGACTGCTCCTCCCCTGGGGGGGGGGGGTCAAACAGCCTGCCCTTGAGATCCTGTTAGAAATAGTCCTTGTTCCCCTTACTTTGGAAAACTACTTGGTTACTGAGCTACCACGGGCCACATCTGAGCAGAAGTTCTAGGTTATATCCATAGATGGTCCTTGGTTGAGTGTCAGTCTCAGAAAAGACCCTGTGCCCGGATATATTTGGTCCTTGTAGAGCTCCTATCCTTTCGATATCATACTAACTTCCCTTCTTTCATATGATTCCCTGCACTCTGCCGAGGGTTTGGTTATGAGTCTTAGTGTCTGCTTTGAAACACTGATAGGTAGAGTCTTTCAGATGCCTTTTGTGGTAGACTCCTGTCATACGTTCAATGCACATCCCATTTGTCTTTCTAAATGAGGACTAATCACCTTCGCCTGAAGCTGGGCTCTGGGTCTGCTGTAGGCAGTTAACATTGTAACACAGTGCTATCTATGAGGTTCACAGCTGAGAGGAATGTGTAACTGACTTACAAAAAAAAAAAAACCCTCTTGTGTTATGTAAGTTTTTGAATTTGTGTTAGGCTGCATTCACAGCCATTCTCAGCTACACAGATGCAGGCAGTTCATACCTATGAGGCTATTTACACCTATGTTACTGGTTGGATCTCCTTTATGTGAAGTGCTTGCCATCTTTGCTCAGGCTTTGCTGGCTGAGCATCTGCTAATACAGAAATCGCTGATGGGGCATTACCTACAGATTTTTAAAGATTTATTTAAGTATGTTTTTATGTATATGGGTGCTTTGTCTGCATTATGTATGTCTGCACACCAGAAGAAGGCATTGAATCCCATTATAGATAGTTGTGAGCTCAGGACTTCTGAAAGTGCAGTCAGTGTTCTTAACAGTGTTCTCCAACCCCTCAGATTTTTAGATTAGGGATATGTGAGTTGCATCTGCATGGTGGAAATGTTGTAAACACTGTGCACATGAATATGTGTCTCTTTCCACTTCTGTACTGGGATCTCTTGTGTGTAACCTGCTGCTCAGCTGTGTGGGGAATATTTGTTACAAACTGTATAAATCAGGCTTCCTTTTGTTCCTTTCTTTCTGTGGAGTTGATGGTGAAATATTTGCTGATACAACATTTACTATATAGATTTTTTAAATAACATTTACTATATATTTCTAAGAATCTGTAGTATTTAGTATTACAACTAAAACAAAACATTTCCTTTCTAATTTTTCAGGAGTTAAACATTTTCAATAAAAAGTTTACAATAATACAACGTAGATAAATTATAAAATGTAATAATTAAATAATGCTGTTCTGTACCCATTTTTTTTGTCCCATGACATTTTTTAAATCCCAGCAGATATTTTATCCATACCTGAACCCTTTGATGGGGCACTGCCTACAGACAGAACATTTGGTCTGATGCTTTACTTGCTCAGCAATGGTGACCCGATGCAGAACGGCCAGCCACACCATAGACTGAGGCTCCAAGTTGACCCACTCCAGGAACTGGGAAGCTTCAATGACTGGCTTTCCCGTGCTCTAGAGGATAACAAATCCAAAGGATATGAACCCAAGTATCTTGCTGCGTGAGTGCCAGCCAACTCCTAATGAAGCAGGGGAAACAGCACTCCTCCAGAGGTTCCCCTTCTGCCTTATCTTAATTGAGCTGACACCCTACCCTGCAGGACTCCAACTCTATACTCCAGAGAACTCTGTTCTGTTGTCTCATCTCAAAAAGGTTCATTTATCTCTGAATACTTTGCACCAAAAGTTGAGATGCTGGTCATCATCCATTGCACTCAACATCCCTTCCATCTCACTTCCCTCCCTCCTTGAATCTACAGGTCCATACTTACAAAACGAAAGCAACTACGAACACTGGGCTCCACATTGCTGCCCCCAAATGCTGCCACTTCACCCAGCTGACGGGGCACTTGAATAGCTTCATGAAGCAGAGCACCGAGATGGCGTTGGTCACACTGGTTGCCTGAATTGGCCACTTGGCTGAAGAGGTCTGCTGAGCCCATCAACAACAATAGTCAGATCCCATTTAGGAATGATCAGAGAATGGTACAAGGAAGAAGAAGCAGAAGAGGATGAGAGAGAAAGAGCACATTGCAGAACTAATGATTTGAAACTGGAAAATCTAGAAATTCACCCCTAATCTCAACTTCCAAGTGATCTAAAAAGAGCATTTCTGAGTTTGGGGGTGGGGGAATGAGATAGACACAAAGAAGGCATCAATAATGAAAGCTGAAGGGAAGAAGGAATGGGGGGAAGGAAGAGAAAGACATAGAAGGAGAAAAGATAGGAGAAAGAAATAAATCGACATCAATGGAGAGGCAGGAAAGAGAGAAAAAGACAGAGAAGGGGGGAGGAAAGAGAAAGAAAGAGAGAGAACAGAGAGCAAGAAGAGAGAGCTAAGTAATGGCAGTGCCAGAGACAGATGTTACAGTACTGGGAAAGCAGATGCCTCTTGGGTATGGAAACACACATTAGGCAGCTTTCAAGAGAGGACAACTCTTCTAGGACTTCCTGAGGGCCAGGCCAACAACCTTAGCAAATCTCTGGATATAACATCCATTCCTTCAAACCTCACCCAAGACTCAGAAAATACACAGGGAGATTGAAGAACACGACAAGGTAGCACAAGCGCTCCTCTGCTAAGTTGCAAGATCTAAATTCTGCTTATCTTATGGCCTCCCTCCTTTCTCCCCTTGCAACACCACTCCATCACCCAACATCACTGCAGATGCTGGAGGTGTACTCACACTGAAGTTTTTCTTTGACTTCAGTGCCACACAAGCATGCGATACCAGTCTTAAAGGACAATGCTCGCATCTTTCCACTGCGACCACTAGATTTCAAGGAAGAGACAGAGAATATGAATATATGTGAAAGGTTGACATCTTGGCAGTCTGCTACCTCACTGATTTGACCCCAGCAGTGCACTGGCCAACCATGCCCTAAGCTGATCCAAGTATACCATGAGAGCTAGCTCTTCCCAACATGGCCAGTTTGAGATGCCCCATTAGATTGATGTGGGAGGTTTCCAGGACTGAAAGCTTTTACCTATCAAAAACATTGAGGAGCCAGTTGAGGCTCATGTCTACACATAGTGGCACATTGACAAGGATGCCTCTTTCCTCCTCCAGTCGTTCATACAAGGCAGTCAAGCAGTGAATGACCTCCACCACGTCCATCACATGTTCACTGGCCTGCAGGTCATGCTCATTGAAGATCTCCAGAGCTGTAGTCAAAGTTACCAGATCTACTGGAAAGGAGAGAAGAAAAGGAAAATACAGCCCAAAGAAGAAGCCCAGGGATGATGAGGCTGATGAGGCAAGGCTACTGTATCACCAAATCTGGTACTAACTTCAGACCAACCATTTACAAGTATGCCATAACCTTGTCCTTTACTATGACTCCCATCCCATGGAAGAGTAAGGCAGCAAAAGGTTGCCAGAGTTAACATGTAGCATGTCTCTGTATACATAAGTTCTTTCACATCAGTTTTGAGAAAACAGAGAGATGTGAATGAACATACCTCCTATGCTATACTGACTCCCAAGGGATCATATCTCATTTAGCATCTCTGTTCACAAAGGTTTCTTTTGTCTTTTAAAATAACTTGGGCAGAGGGCTGATCCTTGGGCCTTACCAGCACTAGGCACTCTATCACTGAGCCAAATATCAGCCCAATATCAGTTTCAACTGAAAACAGGTTTGTTCACAAGCCCTGTTCTAGGAAGCTTAGTCCTAGTCACAAAGGGTCATGCATGGCTGGGTGAATGAAACATACATTAGGAAAACATTTTCATTACCTGTGATGCTGAGTCAGCCTAGCTAGACCCTTGGGGCAGGAAGTTTAAATGAACAGTACTCCTGAGCAAGGCCAAAAGAGACAAGAATACATCTGCAGCATGCTGATGGCCAACCACAGGCACTTGCTTTAACAGTTCTGTTGCTGTATCTAGTAACCCCATGGGAAACCATGAAGCAGATACTACCTCCTGCACAGCGGTTTCTTGATTGCCCAAGCTGGCAAAAGGGGATAGAACCAGGAGGCTTTGGGGTGAGTGAAAAGATCAAATTTTCATAGGCAAGATGCCCCTGCATTTGTAGTGTTCCCATTCAAACAAACAATGGCTCTGGCCATGGTGGGATGCAGGTGGGAAGAAGCAGACAGGTGAGGACTAGGAGGAGGAGGGTGAAAGCCACGGGAAAGAACAACGGAAGACATACGGCGCAGGGCCTTCTGAACTCTGCGGAGCTTCATGGCAGTGCGATAAGCAGAGAACTTAATGTTGTTCAGATCAGCTGCAAAGAACAAACGAGACTCACTTAGGTCTGAGAAATGTAAAGTAGAACAAGCATTAAAAAGGAGATGCATGAATGAGGATTGTTAGTGGAAGTGTGCACTGTTTCCACCAGGAAAACAACTTGGTATTACCCAGTAAAGTGGAACACATACACCCTGCCATCAAGGCAGCTATATATTCCATAACAGTAATATGCAAACATTTTTGACACATTAAAACATGTATTTTATATCATGACCCAGTATACACACAGTTCAGAAAGCAATTCTTTACTATATTAATACAAATAAAAACATAAAATTAATATCAAATTTGATCCTCACTAAGTGCCCACCAATAGCTCCTAGTCTCTTTCAGTTTGTGAAAAGATTATGACATGCTGAAATAATATTATGACCTACATAGTAAAAGTATGCCCTGGAAAAACCCTTGCACACATGTACCTAAATCTGCATACAAGAATTCCTTAGCAGCGTTGCACATATTCCCTCTAAACTAGAGACCCATGTGCCTATCAGCAATAGAATAGGTAAAGAAAGGCTATATCCAGTGGTATCCCCTACAGCAGGGAAAGTGTTCTAACTCTAGACATATGCTGTATTTTTCCTAGTAGGCAAAGATAAGGCATAAAAGTCTCCCTCACTGCAACCCAAAGACTGCCTTTCAAATGAGATTAGACTTCACGTCTTCAAGCATAGCTCCCTAATGATGTTAAAATTTTCCAGGGAGAATGGAGAATACACTATTGAGGTAGATGTAAATGAAGATACCTTATTGAAGTACAATGGACACGCAAAAAGCTGTATGTGAAGTGACAGTTAGGAAGCATGTATTTAATATATATAGCTTGATAAGTTTGGTGATAAGTATATGTCACAACAACCTGTATTATAAACCTATCCATTGCTACCAAAGTTTCCTCCCATCTTCTTATTTATCATTATTACTATTAGTAGTACGGTATGTTGCTGGTAAGAACACCTAATATAAGATTATTCTCTTAATAGAATTTGACACATTAAAAAGAGTACTATTAGCACTTGTCATATAGCAGATCTTTAGGACCTGTTCTTGTTGCATAACTGAAACTGTGGTCAGTGACCATTACCTCCCTGTTTCCTCCTCCCCTAGCCTCTAACATACAACATTCTACTATCTGATTCCTTAAGTTTGATGATTTTAAATTTCTTATATAAGTGGAACCATGCAGTGTTTGATCTTCTTTTTAGCCTTATTTTAGTTACCCTAACATTCTTTGGGTTTATCCACATTGTCTATATGGTACCGTTTTAAGACTAAAAAAGTATTATTCCATATTGTGCATATGACACACAGTGTTCATCCATTCATACATTGATGGAATATAGAACAAAGATAATGGTATAGATTCCCATCCCATATAGGAACCTTGTGTTCTCACCTAAGGTTTGGTATAACTCAGTCATCTTGGGATGGTCCCAGCATGTAGTCTGAGCCTGGTGGCTACAAACAAAAGCATCAATAGCACCAATATCACATTCGTAGCACCCTGTGCAGGCACACCTACTCATCAGTCAGTGAAAGGTGGGTTGCAAAAATCTGCACAATGCAAAGATAAACCCTGAAAATCCTGACACACCAGAGTTCATCACACGCACAGACACAGACACACACACACACACACACACACACACACAGAGAGAGAGAGAGAGAGAGAGGGAGAGAAAGAGAGAGAGAGAGAGAGGCAGAATCTTAAACATTTCGAGCAAGTTGGAAGAAGAAATAGACTAAGCATGGGAATCTCAACGCACAGGAAGTGGCAGAGTTAGGAAGCAGAAAAGACATGTGATGAAGGGGCTAGGCAGGTGACTGACTGCCTTCTGATTCTGATGATCACTCACTTGATGTAGTAGGGAACTTTATTGGGAGAAATGGCTCTTTCCCAGGGAACCTGGACAGAAGCTGTTAAAAAAGAAGAGAAAGAAGGCTGGCCACTAATAATATTCTTCAAGCATCCTGGCCATTCTTAAGTTTCTTAATTAGATTAATTCATTTTATTTATATATGTTTTGTTTGCATGTATGCATGTGCATCACATGTGTGCTTGGTGCTTGTAGAGGTCAGAAGAGGGCATTAGATCCCTTGGAACTAGACTTAGAGATGGTTGGGAGTTGCCATGTGGGGGCTGGTAATTGAACCTCTGTCCTCTGCAAGAGCAACAAGTGTTCTTAACTACTAGGCCACCTATCTAGTACATCTTGGCCATTTTTATGCTCTGCCCTTCCTCAAGGTGGCTAAACACAAACAGAAATAACATTCACTTCCAACTGTCAACAGATCCCAGGCAGTAGCACTTACAAGAAACATACATTGCTCCTTGATTCGAGAGAAGGGGAAAGGTGGTCAGTAATGGCCTATTGAACCAGAAACGGGCTAGAATATGAACAGGATTACTTCATAGCCCTAATATTTGCCTAAGCAGACTGTCATTTTACCTATTCAGCTGCAGGTGGCTGGACTGTTCCTGTGGCTATGAAATATAATTTTCTCACAAGGTTCAAAGTCTTTCCCCTAGAAGGCCAACTTTCTCAGCTCTGTGGGGTGTGGAGGGAGGTAGTACTGCCTAAATCTTTACTAGAAGGAACTCTTTCAACCCTCTGCCTATATCATTGAGATCTTAACAAGAGAGGATCAAGCTAACTGGCTTGTCTGTTCACTCATTAGATTTTTTTCTGAATATATGTGTCTACTTTTAATTATGATCTGTTTCCTCCACTAGAATATGAGTTGTCCAAATCTAAAGATTCCTCTCTAATTTTTCCACCACCATGGCTCCAGTGCCCAGAAAAGTACCTGGCTCACAATTAATACTGTTGCATAAATATGCATATTTAATTTTTAAAACCTAAAGAGCTAGGAAATCCACCTCTTTCAGATTGGAAAGGTGAGGTTCAATCAGGTTACACCAGTGTTTTCAAATTTGCACAGCTTTTAGGTTGAGGCACAGTGGCTCTCCGACTGAGAGACTGAACGGCTCCACACACAGCCGTTTTTCTTATTGCTTCTTGAATGCCAAGACACCCTGGGCTCCCACCTGACCCCCCACAGACAACAGGAGATTTTCTTGGAAAATGGCTGAGGTTCTGCTATATGCAGTTTAGCTTGACTCACGTACTGGAGAGGAAGTGCTGTGACCCAGGCCCAAAGTCCCGATGGGCATCCTGGAGCTGTTTAAGCCTCTCACCAACCGACACCTAAGGAAAGAACAGTGGTTAACTTCTAGCCATTTAGTGTGGAATCTGCACTTGCCTTCAGGAACCTTTATGAGCTCCCTCATAGGCTGTTCTTTCTCCTGTTCCAATCCCATCAATAGTCACCCAACTCCTGACTTCCTCTAGCACTGACAAGAATCAGATAAGCCTTCTTAGTTCCAAGCCATAGTAATTCTTCTCTCCAGTCTAATCAGTGTGCCTAAATCTAGACAAGTACCTCTCATTCTTCCAGTTGAGCTATTTCCTGCAGCTTACAGGTTGAGAAGCTTATTCTCTGACCCCCTAATTCTCTATCATTCTTTTCCTGTGGAGGTTTTATTTCCAAAACTATGATATTCTTTTGGCTTGTATATACTAGCCTTTCCCGCAACTCCACAAGCTTGGCCATACCAAGATGCCTCCTCAGAGCTCATTTCAGGATGGTCCTCTACCTGGAGCTGTTTCCATCGGATGTTGATCTGTTCCAGAGCTCTTGAATTCTCCATTGACAAGTGTACATCAGAAATGGCAAGTTGGTGGGCCAGATCATTCACTAACTTCATTCCATCTTTCACAGGAGAAAATTCTTCTTTGAATAGCTAGAAAATCAGAACCCAAGTGCCAAAGCAGATAGAAAGTAGAGAAGAGGACACATTACTCAATCCACTTTAAATCTTGCATTTCCATGTAGAGGTTTACTTTCAACAACACCTAGCTACTTGGCCATTTGTGCAATAGACTAAAATGTGAGTGATCACTGGTCTTATCCTTTTCTTTTATTCATTTTAGAAAAGCAGGGAAAGAGTAAGCAGTAGGAATATAGACAAACTAGCCCCCAATCTAGATCATAATTAAAAGAGGCTCAACTGAGGCCCAGACAAACAATTAAGTCTCAGCAGAAGGAAAATTGGCACTATGAAAGGAAATCAGGTCTCAGTGAGAATTATTGTCAGGGAAGGAGCCCTACATACCTTGATGGCTTGGATATGCTCTGGGAGGGAATCTATGAAGAGATCCCCAATGGGCTCCCAAGTGGCTCGGACTCCCTCTGCTTGGGTCAAAGTAGTGCTTAGTTCCTCCATTGCCCCTTGGATCTCCAATAGATGCTCCAGAGTATGCTCAATGTGTCGGTGCTGATCTACACAGCGGGCTGTCAGTTTCTCCCACAGTTCACTAGCCACCGTTGCCTGCTTCCACACAAAGCGGCTAAGATTCTGAATTCGCTGTCTCGGGGAGGTATCTGTAGTACAATCAGGAAGCCAAGTCAAGCTAACCTTGACAGAGGCAACCCAGAGAAAAACAAAGGTAAACCCATCCTTTTATAAAATGTACATGCTTGCCTGTAAATGTGGGTTTTGGGACACAGCAGTGTGTGCTTGCTTGTATGTGTATCTTCATATTAACATACGTGTTTCTATGTTTGAGCTTCTTTTACACATTCTGGGATTTCAATTTTTATTACATTTATTTATGTATTTAAGTATATGCATACTTTGTGTTTGTGCATGTGTGAGTGCAAGTGTGTGTGTGTGTGTGTGTGTGTGTGTGTGTGTTTTCTTTCTACAAAGTGGGTCCCAGAAATTTAACTCATGTTGTCAGGCTCTGGGCCAAGAACATTTACCAGCTGAACCATCTCACTGGCACCACATTCACAGATTTTTTAAAAAATTAAGCTGCTTATCTAAGATTATTATAGTTTAGCTTCTGGTTATAAGCAATAATATTGTTATTTCCTGCATTCTTTCTTGAAATGGTAATGTCTTGTAAACAGACAATATCATATCACAACCAGGATTTTGGCATTGATATAATCTGTCAGTTTTGTTCAGAGTTCCCCAGTTTTACCTAGTAAAACTAGTGTTCATTTTTGTGCATGTACATACACGCACATTTAGTTCTATGCAATTTTTACCATGTGTTGGTTCATGAATCTACTGCTACATAAGACCATTTTAATTTCACACACACACTTTTACATTCAGGTTTTCTCATTTTTAAGTGGTAAGGTAAATAGTGAATAAAGAATTTTAAGAGATATAGTTAAGTGAATCATCTAGTGCTATCCATATACACTGGAAAAAGATTTAGACACTAGTATCTGATATTTACTAAAATCCTCATTTTTATATATACACATACATACCCATACACCATCATATACAAGAGGCCAAACAGTTGTTCTCTCTCTCTCTCTCTCTCTCTCTCTCTCTCTCTCTCTCTCTCAGACAAGATCAACCAACCAGTTGGTCACTTTTCTGTTTTAACACCAGAAGAGAGGAGGTTGACCAGTGGTCCTTTTTAAATGAATGGATGGATGGATAGATAGGTAGGTAGGTAGATAGATAGATAGATAGATAGATAGATAGATAGATAGATAGATAGATGGAGAAATGGATAATGAATTGACCAGGAGAGATCTGATATTGACTTTTCCCCATCAGTCTGTCTGTCTGTCTGCATGCACCAGCAGCAGAGGGCAAGGTTTTTTCTTTGTCCTTCAGACTTACTGTTGAGAGATGATTCAGAGTCTATACTCCTGAGCTACATGGAATTTGCCTTTCTCTCTCTGGAGTTTGCCCTATTTGGGGCCCATTGAGCAGCAATTTATGTACTAACTGGCCAACTGAGAGACCAGAAATAAACAGAGACTGTGAATGGAATCTACAAAGGACTTCACTAATGAAAGCTTCTTTTTGGTCTATTCACTTCATGTGTCAGGGCTGAGGATTCTTTCTGGAAGGATTTGCTAAACTACCACTCAGACTTAATTTCCATGGTTGACACATTGGCAGTTTCTTGGAATATAAACAGAAAATGGCCCTCCCTATGATGGCAGGTCCAGAAGGCACTAGGCTCAGTATTGACAAGCAATCAATTTTCATCTCAAAAGTCACTACCCAACTTCCTAGGTTTTAAGATATTTTTTTAATCTGCTGGGGGATACCAGCATTGCCAATGTTCCTCTCTGTTGAAATAAAGCAGATTTTTTTCTAATGTTTTCAATTTGTGAGACCGTTATTCATTAGTATCTTCACAAGCAAATGTGAAAACAAAGGTAAAGATCACATGGATAATAAGTACAGCCTTGTGTGACAACCCAGGTGGCAAACAATGTTCCAAAAAGGACACACTCCTCTCATTCCCTGAGTTGTTTCAATTCACTTGAGGTCTTTATTTTCTTCTGTCTCTGTCTGCCTATCTGTCTCTGTCTCTTTCAAATATCTCATTACAAGGCCACATATGACACTTTGAAGAGACACATGCTAGTGAGCCCTGCTTCAGGCTCCTTCCTTTTCCTTACAACTAACTGTGACTCTTGACCCTGTCCAACTCTAGACAGACAGGAAAAAACCACCTTCCTATGTAGCAGCTGAGAAAAGGGGCCTGTGAAAAGCACAGAGGTGTTTGCTTAGTAGTACATTGAGCTCAAGAAGTGGAGGAGGACAGGAAGGCCACGTACCTTTGCTCTCAGAATGAGGTTCCTCTAATTCCTCAAATGGGTGCTGGGACAGGAAAGCCTGAGCAGATTCCAGCACAGAGTAGATATAGGGGCCCTTGGACTTGACTTCTTCCATAAAGGCCTGTAAATGTTAGCAATCAAGTTAGCCCTTCAATCACTTCAGTTTTATCTCATGGTCAGCAACCTTTCTTCTCAAGGTTACTTGGTTCAATGGCATTACTAGGTACCTTAGGATTAACCAGAAAAAAAAATATCAGTCTTCCCTATAGGCAGAAAGTAATGCTGGAAATTCTATTTAGTATGTCTGGCTATGCCACAGAAGAGGAGAAACACAGAGTGGATCTTATTTTTCCAGAAGACTCAGTGTGAAACAAGCCTGAGTTTTACAATTAGCTTGAGGCCAGCCTTTGAAGCTAGCCAGGTTTATGCAGTAAAAACTTGTTTCAAAAACAAAACAAACAAAAGAACAACAAAAATCAAAGAGATATCTGTCATTTCCTGATTATAGAGATGATGTAATTGAAGTATTTAAAAGTTCAGAAAACGATAAAGTACAAAATTAAAGAGAATTCCAGTTTTATTACCTAGAGTTAAACACTTAATGTTTTGTTGTACTTCCCTCCTATGACATTAGTGTATATATGCACACATCTATATATATTTTTATGTAACTGAAATCCATAGTTTCATATTTTGCATTTTAAACATCATATTATGTTCATTTGTCCACATTCTCCTTCTAAATCAAGGCAGGGATTTTTTTCTTTATTAATTACACTTTATTCACTTTGCCCCCTGTGGTTCCCTCCCTCCTCCTGTCCCAATCCCTCCTTTCTCTACCCTCTGCATGCATACCCCTCCCCGAGTCCACTGATAAGGGAGGTCTTTTTTCTTTCCTTGATCCTAGTCAATTAGGTCTCACCAGGAGTGGCTGCATTGTCTTCTTCTGTGGCCTGGCAAGGCTGCTCCCCCTTCAGGGGGAAGTGATCAAAGAGCAGGCCAATCAGTTCATGTCAGAGATAGTCCCTGTTCCTATTACTATGGAACCCACTTGGACACTGAACTGCCATGGGCTACATCTGTACAGGGGTTCTAGGTTATCTCCATGCACAGTCCTTGGTTGGAGTATCAGTCTTAGGAAAAACCTCTGTGCTCAGATTTTTTGGTTCTGTTGCTCTCCTTGTGGAGTTCCTGTCCTCTCCAGACCTTATTGTTTCCCACTTCTTTCATAAGATTCCCTGCACTCTGCCCAAAGGTTGACCATAGTCTCAGCATCTGCTTTGATAGTCTGCAGGGCAGAGCTCAAGGTAGGGTTTTTAATTGGATGGCAAGCCTTGACTCAAGTCTGTGGAGCGCAAGCCCCAGGCTAGGCATGCATACCATCCATCGCTTGCTGCTTTAGGTGTCTAAGCAGAACTGAGGCCCTGTATGTCAGGATACTGTGACAGGCTATTTCCTGATGCAAGGCTGCTCATCATACCTCTAGGAGTTTGACCTACCACATGCGTCTCCTTCTCCTGTTGTACCAGGGCCACATCCCCTTGCAAGGGAAGCTGAGCTGACAACTCCTCATCCTTTTGGCTCAGCCAGTCAATAATCTCTTGGAGTGGGAGCTGGAGTTTTCCACTATGGTCTGAGAAGGCCTCTAGGCGAGCACTGTATGTGACCATAAGAGCAGTGACTCAGTCATCTTTTTAAGAAGCAAAATCTATTTTTCCTAACATTCCATGCTTATATGGAGCTTTCATATACAAAACGGATTCAAAGAAACTGCTCTAGCTGAAGTGGTGAGAGGCCCAGGAGTCCCTCTTTCTTGTATCTACTGATGAATATTCCCAAGGTCCTACCAGATGGTGTAAAGTACTAAAAACAGTGGTTGGAAGCTATCTTCCATTAAAATGGTTTAAAACATCACTTTGTGGATCTTAGTCACTTCAGCTGCATGCTAGCATCAGGCCAAGGAGGGTAAGAAACTGAGCAAGGGGATTTAGGGATGACAGCCATCTGGCTCCCGTCTTGCCTGGGCAGAATTGCAATTACATCAATCTGTTCAGCCACACAGGATGCCCTGTGCATGAGGGAATACAGTTGGTGGGAGGGGTAGTGTGGAGAGTTAAATATGGGCATGAGCAAAGATGCACAAAAATCTCAGCAGCCCAAAGGGACTCAAATGATGACAGAAGCATTGGCTACAAGTTGTGACTACAGAGGAAATAATTTCTATTCCAAAGTCATATGTCTGTTTGCTAAGGTGTAATGTTAGAAAGTGGAAGCTAGTAAATCAAGGCTTGGTGCAGCTATAAGCCTGTTCCTCCTAGTTGGAACTAACAACTATCTTTTTCCACTGCTTCCCTATATCTGGAAAAAAAAAACTTTTTCTAAATCATCATGTCAACTAATTCTTACAGCAATCTTACGGAGTGGGCATGACTCTCATCCAAAGATGTTCATAAGCACAGACTTAATTGCTAGACATGGAGCTAGGATTTGAAACCAGGCTTATCTGTCTCTACAATCTACTTTCTTTCAGCTTTTCTACACTGCCTCACCTCATCACAGACACCCCCCCCCCCCAAAGCCTTGTTTTGGAGCTTTAATAGTAGGAAATAGAGAGGTTTTTTGTTTTTGTTTTTTGTTTTTTGTTTTTTTTTTTAATGAGGCACACAGAAGGACAGAAAGAAAACAACATATAGAAATAGCCTTTAGGCCCTTACTGAGTTGCACCTACCTGCTAACAACCCACAGATGGGAATGGAGGACATAAAAAATATGCAAGTGGGCTGGAGATGTGGATCTGTTGGTAGAGTACTTGCCTAGCAAGAAGTTTGATTTCCATGACCACATAAACATGGTGTTTTATGTCTGTAATCTGAGGACTCACAAGGTGGACATGGGAAGATGAGAAGTTCTAGGTTCTCAGCTACATAATGACTTTAAGGGTAATCTGGGATACATGAGACCTTGTGTCTAAATAAATAAATAAAACAAATTACAATACAGGGATGGGGGTACACAGGTGAAACCTTCCAAGGTTTGGCAGTTGTGAGGAGGAAGAGGAAGGGGAAGAGGGAACAATCACTTCATTTATATTTACACACCAATACATTTAAGTTTAGAAAGCATTTTCACATGTTATTTGAACGATTATGACAACACTATGAAGTGTGGAGGACAGGTATTATTTATTACTCCACTTATTTCTTTTTCTTAAAAAAATGAACCAACGAAGCCAGGTATGGTGGTAAGCTTAGCACTGGAGAGGTAAAGGAAAGATGATTCCAAGGTGCAAGGCCAGCTTGCACTCTACAGCGAGTTCCAAACTATGGAATCTCAGAACAAAATAAAATCAAAGTGGAGAGAAGTAGATAGTGAGACTGATGGGGGAGAGAGGACACAAATCACAACAACAAAAGAAGCCTGATACTGTCCCAACTAATTCCTAAAGTAACTGTTTCTAGTGGTTAGTCCTTACCGGAGGTTCTGAGACTTCTTTTTTATTTCATTCCAACACAGATTCATGGCTGATGGTTCCAGGGGGCCAATGGCTCCAACAGACCTGTTCAAGAGCTTTGGACTTAGGCAGGGATCCCTGGCACCATCCCAAGGAGGTGCAGGGATGGTGACCGCAGCTCTAACCTGGACAGAAACACAAATATTCTGTGGTCCCTGGAGTTTTTCCATGCCTTACTATAGCTAAGTTTTCCCACAACAGCCTTTCTCTCATCTTCTTCACTCATATCCTACTTACCAAGCTAAGTGTGGGATATGAGTGAAGAAGATGAGAAAAAAACTGATCCCAGGGTCAGAAAATCCTTTCCTGCAGGAGTGTGTTCAAGGGAGTGAGCTGCAGAAGGTATCTAGTGTCTCACTCATTGAAAGGTCTTCTCTTGGGAGAGGAGTGAGACATAGACGTGTTATCATTATTTCCCTCCAGTTCGAAATCTTGCCAGGATGACTGTGCAAATGGAATCCTGCACTCAATAGGAAGCTGCTGGGATTTGCCCAAACATGAACAACCACAGCTTTCAAACTGAGGCTCAATCCACAGGGGCTCATACTACCACCTAAGCTTTAGAAAATACAACCGAGGAGCTGCCCCACAAAGATTCAGAGAAGAAGCAGATATTCAAAGGAAGTGACCAGTTCCCTATATCCTATTTTCCAAATGGATCTAGGCCTTTGAGGTCACCTCCCCCCAGTTTTAACCCATACTTTAAACCACAGTCAAGAAGCCTGGAAATCTTCATAAAGGACACTAGCCGGGAAGGTAAACATAGTCTAAGATAGAGCTTAAAGGAATGTTCTGAATTTTGCACTACAAAGGTTACTCTGACCAATGTCAGCAACCAAAAGGTCCAGTCTTGAAGTTTGCCAAACTGTAGCTTGGGTTCTCAGCCCCATACTCTACTTACTGTCGCTGTCCTGGCACTGGTAAGGCCCAGTAACAGCCCTCCTGGGTCAAGGGTCTAGTTGTCAAATCACCTATTAGGAGCACAGTGTTGGGGATACCCAGGCAAGGGGCAGTAGAGGGAGGGGAGTTGGAGGAAGGAATCTCATTTTGAGCTGATCCATCCTACCAGTCTGCAGGTCCACCTGCTTCTTGCCTAGCTAGCTGGCCCTCCTAGGGGCTGGGACTCCTCAGTTCTCTTTTTCATCTTAAAATCATACTTCTTACAAGAGTCTCTGGGAAATTAGTTTACTAACCATCCAGTAAAAACCACAGCTCACCACAGCAACATGAGAGGAAAGGAAGGGAGCTACCAAGTTTTAGAAAACAAGCTAAGAACTCAGCACCCCTCTCTGCCCCCTGCAGACCATGTGCTGACCCTACCTGTGCTGCCTGAGGAGTCCATGGCAGGGCCAGGGAGTTCCATGATTTTCCCTCAGCAGGAATCTGGATACTGCAGATCCCTGAGGAGCTCTGAGCAAGCTCACTCAGGGAGCCAGGAAGAGCTGAGACAGGCCAGGAGGTGGGGGACTGCTACCCTGTTTGTTTACTGACCCACCAGGAATCTGGAGGGGGTGGCCATGTCAGAGCCTACCCAGTAAATCAGAGCTTTGTTGTGGGGAATTCCGGCTAGCTCCCATGCTGGCAAGGATGTCAGGAGTGGGACTGGGCATTCCATGGTGCTGAGCAGGGTTGTGGAGAGGGTAACTCCTGCTGATTAATTTTCCCTTTCTGGGGAAGACACAAAGCACCTGCTGCAAAGACACAAAGCACTCACTGCTTCCAGGCCCAGCCCTGCTCTGAAGCAGACAAAAAAGATAAGACAACTTCAGCAATAAAGTCATGAAGGCAATTTTTTAAAGGCCTGATAAGAGATGAGGTTGGGAAATAAGCCTTGCTCTCAACTAAGTGAACTTCCTCAGAGGCAGTGAGGAGCCAGTGTGGCACATAGGGTCATACAATGTTGCATTGGGAAGCTGAGGTAGCTGAATCCCTCTGTATTTGATTGTCTTCCATGAGTGCAGAAGCCAGAAGATTCACTGGAGGCCACCAAGAAAACAAGGGAGTGCTTTTTCCTGCTTTTGAGAGGTGTAGAGAGAGCTATGGCTAGTAGACTTCTGTACTCTAAGGACAGAGTGATGGACTCTGGGCATCCCTTTGGGCCTCTATAATGGAGGAAAAGAGGACATTGAAATATAGCAGCTCCATGCAAAGAACCAGAGATGGAGTCACTCCTGTCTCAGCTTGTGCTATACTTGGTGGGATTGAGAGAAGCCGTTTACATTAGGCCACTGACTGAGGGCCAGATCCTCTACTGGAAATGACCACCAGTTTCCCTCTTCACTAGACTTGCCTGAAAAAAAAGGTTAACATTCCTGAGCTCAGCCCCCACCCATTAGCACTTTCCGAAAACACTATGTTTATACCAAAAAGAATTCTGTTCCCATCCTTATTTATCTCCCACAGTCTTGTAGGCTTTCCACAGTTCTACATTGTTTCCATGCTGAGGTCCACCTACAGGAATAGCTGCAACAGCTGCTTGACCCTTTAGAGAGGCCTTGAGTGAAGCCAACTTGGATGGCTGGAGAATGGCAGGCGGTGACAAGCCAGAGTGGGGAGGGGCTTCTAGCTACAGGCATTACTTGTGTTAGGATAATTGGGCTAACGACAGTGTCACAAAGTCCTTTGGATGGGGAATGCCCCAGAGGTGGAAACAGCCCTTTGTAACCCAGTCATGACCAAGCTGTCCTGGCTGTGCTCTGGGAAAGAACACACATAAGTGGCACCGTGTTAGCCTTTCTCTCTTTCAGCACTCTTTCTTCTTAGTTTCCAAACCCCCATCCAGGTCCCACATGGCTCTCTAGAGCCCTGGTCTCCTCTCATTTTCCCCTCTGAAGAGGGCCAAGGACATTTCATGGCTGACTCATGAAGAGTAATTATTTTCTTTCCCTTTCCTATCAGTTGCTCTCTCTGGTTTTTGTGGATAAGATTTTTGTTGTTCATGTCCCATCCACAGAGCTCAAAGGAGTCTATATATATATATATATATATATATATATATATAGAGAGAGAGAGAGAGAGAGAGAGAGAGAGAGAGAGAGAACAGAAGAATGTAAAGTATACTACCCAGAAACCAAGGCCAGGAACAAAATCTCACCTTGCCTGAGTCCATGCCTTGAAGAATCATGTTCTTTTGGGAACTTCCCAGGCCTATAACCCTCAGATTAACATGGGATTGGTTCCCATTGGTCATAATGGGCCTTTGGATTGCCATTGACTACCACACACCAAAGCCCCCCTGCCCTCTGTTCATATAAGGAAGCTTGTTGTGGGTGGGGAGGCAGTGGGCAAAGAAAGCCTTTTGGAAAGACTCAGGTGTCTCAACCCTTCAACATTGTACGAGCCAAAATCCAAGGAACACACAGATTATTGTGAGATTCTAAATTGGCCATGGCTTTGAAAATATAGTAGAGACAACAATTTCTCCCTGGCTAAATGCAAAAGAGGAAAAAAAAATAAAGAAAAAAAAATAAGAAAGACCTGACCCTCATTCTTCTCTAGATATTTACTTTTCCATATTTAGCTTTTCCCAAGTGATTTCCTTAATGCTTGTTTTCTCTCTCTCTATTCTTTTGTGCCTCTTTTCTCCCTAAAAACTCACCTGCTGTCTGTGACACTAGAAATGACTCAGAACTGCAGTTTCTTTGTGACTCTATAGGATACACAGTACTTTTAAACTCCAAAGTATTGCAGGGAAACCCAAAGTATGCCGGCATCTGCCTTTTTTCCATCCAAGTTCCCCTGGACCTCCTTCCTCATTGTCAGGAAAAGTAGGTTCTTTCTCTCTCTAAAATAGTACTTCTTACTCTCATCTACCAATACACACACAGACACACACAACCGCCACTACCACCATCATCACATCACCATAATCCTAGAGGAAAGGAGAGAGATAAGTATGAAGTTTATGGGGTTCTAAGCATAGCTAATCCAGGAACTACAAGGAAGACTAGTAACTTGAGAAGAAGAGCCAATATATATAGAGAGAGAGCAAAACCAGGAGAATGTAAAGTAGACTACCCAGAAACCAAGGCAAGGAAAAAAAAAAATCTCACCTTGCCTGAGGTCATGCCTTGAAGAATCATGTTCTTTTGGGACCTTCCCAGGCCTACAACCCTCAGAAGGTTAACATGGGATTGGTTCCCATTGGTCATAATGGGCCTTTGGATTGCCTAGGCTGACAACTTTCTTTGCTGTATATCCCCCATTAACTATGTAGTGGTTGATAAGGGATGGGCTGCAGGAGAATCTGTGCTGAATAAGGGTTTTCATACATACACAAGTTTCTTTGCACATTAGGATGGACAGTTAACATATATGTTTACACACATCTAATCTTTCCACAGCCCTTTCTTTTAGTAACGGGCACTTACCTGAGGCTGGGGGCAGGTGTTTCGGAAGCTGCTGCTGTGATGAAACCTGTCAGCAGCACGCCACTCATGACATCGTGGGAGGGTGTAAGGGCATCCCTGCATGACCAAAGGTTGCATCAGAACCAAGGCTCATGGAGGGTGAAGACTGGCAGCAGACCAACTGTGGAGCATCAAGCACCTGAAAGAGTAATACAGAGAGCTTTAGAGATAAGACTAGGAAAAATTCAATGACACTTTGGAAATGAATCTGGTGCTTTCTCAGACAATTAGGAATAGCGCTTCTTCAAGATCCAGCTATACCACTCCTAGGCATATATCCAAAAGATGTTCAAGTACACAACAAGGACATTTATTTGTTCAACCATGGTCATAGCAGCTTTATTCGTAGTAGCCAGAACCTGGAAACAACCCAGATGTTCCTCAACTGAGGAATGGATACAGAAATTGTGGTACATTTACACAATGGAATACTACTCAGCAGTTAAAAACAAGGGCATCATGAACTTTTCAGGCAAATAGTGGGATCTATAAAGGATCATACTGAGTGGGGTATCCCAGAAGCAGAAAGACACACACAGTATATACTCACTTATAAGTAGATACTAGACCTATAATGTAGGATAAACATACTAAAATCTGTACACCTAAAGAAGCTAAGCATTATCAGTAAGATTATCAGTCTGGGTAAGATTATCTGGGTAAGATTATCAGTCCTCACTCAGAAAGACAAATGGGATGGACATTGGAAGAAGGAGAAACCCGGAAACAGGATAGGAGCCTACCACTGAGGGCCTTTAAAAGACTCTACCCAGCAGTGTATCAAAGCAGATGTTGAGACTCTTAACCAAACTTTGGGCAGAGTGCAGGGAATCTTATAAAAGAAGAGGGAGTTAGTAAGACCTGGAAAGGACAGGAGCTCCACAAGGAGAGTAACAGAATCAAAATATCTAGGCACAGGGATCTTTTTGTGAGACTAATATTCTAACCAAGGACCATTCATGGATATAACCTACAACCCCTGCTCAGATATAGCCCATGGCAGCTCAGTGTCCAAGTGGGTTTCCTAGTAAGGGGAATAGGAACTGTCTCTGACATGAACTCAGTGGCTGGCTCTTCGACAACCCCCCCATGGGGTAGCAGCCTTGCCAGGCCACAGAGGACAATGTAGCCAGTCCTGATGAGACCTGATAAGCTAAGGTCAGATGGAAGGGGAGGAGGACCTCCCCTATCAGTGGACTTGGAGAAGAGCAGGGGAGAGGATGAGGGAGGGATGATAGGATTGGGAGGGAAAAAGGGAGGGGCTACAGCTGGAATACAAAGTGAATAAAATGTAATTAATATGAAAAGTAAAAATTTAACTTTAAAAAAAAAGAAAGAAAAAGCCAATGAAGTTAGTGCCTCCTAATGCTGCATGGATCAGCTAGCCATGCAGATAACTATCTATAGATAACTGACCTACAATAATAGGCTACTGTGCACCATCAAAGATTAATTATTAGCCAAGGAAGTATTTATTGTTACCTATTATGTTTTGTGCTAAAGTCACAAAGATGAATTACTATGAGACAGGTTGGAGAGGCACCTAGATAAGCTAATAATTAAAATAAAACACTCACGTGTCAAATGCTATAATTATGGCTAGACTAGGTTAGGGGAGCAAAAAACATACCCATGACTACCCAGATTCAGAGAGACTGCATTTGAGGGCCTGAGGAGATAAATCATTCAGTTAAGTGCTTGCTACATAAGCATGAGGACTTTAATTTGATCCCCAGAACACACAATTAAAAAAAATGTTGCAAATGATAGCATGTGCTTTTAATCCCAACACTGGGGAGGAGGAGACAGGCAGATCCTTGGGGCTCTCCAGCTAACTAGCCTTGTGTACTTGGTGAACTCCAGGCCAATGAAAGACCCTGTCTCCAAAAGAGGGGGTTCCTGAGATTGACCTCTAGCTTCCATAGAAATTCATGCACTCAAGCATATGCTCAGTGTTCCCGCGTGCTTGCATGTGAACGCACACATGCGCGCATGCACACACACACACTTCAAAGATAATACATTTGAGATAAGCACTGAAGGTACAGTAGTTTGTCTAGGTAGAAAAGGAGAGCTAGGGAGAAAGGCATTATTTAAGGCTGATGTAACAAAAAGGCAAAGCATATTCAGGTAATAGTGAGTTTAGTATAGCTAGAGTTTAGAAGACACAAAGAGGGAAAAGATACAGTGCCTGCCCCAAGGAGTTCATGTACAGAGAAAACAAACAGGGAGAAGGAAGACCATAAATTGTTATGTGCATTAATATTAAAAATAGTGATGAGATAGAGGAAAGAAAGAGATGAAGACAAGGTGAATTCTTCCTGGCCATGTTAAGAAAATTTCCTAGATTCATCCTTTAGATGAATCATGAAATAGAAGTGAGATTGTATTAGGTAGAAAAGATAAAAAAGAATTTTCCAAACCACAAATTAAAAAAAAAAAAATATGTAGTGTGAGCAAAAACCAAGATAGGCATCAGATTGGGCCATGTCCCAAACAAAAGATTCTAGCTTTTATCTTATAGACAACAAGGGGGCACTGAAGATTTTAAGCAGAAAAGTGACATGGCCAGATTTTCCTCTGCTTGCCTTGTGTGATGATTCTCCCAGGGGAAGAACATGCTGAGAAGTTAGTATATAAAAAATAGGTAGGTGGGATTCATGAGCAGACGACAAGCTTTGAGATTCGTCGAAGAGGTAAAATGTTTGGGACTCAGTGGCCAATTAGATGTGAAAGGTAAGGACGGTAAAGGAGTCAAAATTTCTAATTTCGGAGCAAGTAGGTTACATTGCTAACAGCAAGAGGAAAAAGAACACATTTGGTGTGATAAGGGGCAAGGGCAATGTTACATAATCAGCTATGCCCAGGACATTCAGCTTCACATATCAGGATTGATGAGTTTTGAAAAGAAGATATATGCGCAAAAAATCAGATGCACGAACCAAATGATGGCTTAATAAATGAATACAACATGGAGATAAGCAGCAAAGATGATACTTGCAAATGATAAAGGGGATCTCTTTTAATGTGTGGCTAAAATAAACCCTTCTCCAAAGGAGAAGAAATAATCTTTGATTCCTGGTGGTGATGATTAAACAGTGACCATTTTTCGACTCTCTTCCACCAGTTCACAACATTTTATATATAAAGGTCCCTTCCTAGGATGAAACAAAAAGTCTCACTTCACCCACTTCACACCCATAATAGTAGCTGTACTTTTAGAATTTACAGAATGAGAAAAACACTTAACATATTTAGACATCTGTAGACTTTGTGGATCAAATATCCTTCTCTCTTCTTCAAGGGTCTATGGTCCCAAAATGGAATACAACTACGAATTCTGAAGTTTGTAGTATAAAGGTCACTTTGTCAGAGTTAAAAATTCCTGACAGGGACTGTCTCTGACATGAACTCAGTGGCTGGCTCTTTGATTACCTCCCTCTGTGTGGTGCATCCTTACCAGGCCACAGAGGAAGATGATGCAGCCAGTCCTGATGAGACTTGATAGGCTAGGGTCAGATGGAAGTGGAGGAGGTCCTCCCCTCAGTGGACTTGGAGAGGAGCATGGGAGGAGATAAGGGAGAGAGGGTGAGATTGGGAGGGGACAAGGAAGGGGACTACAGCTGGGATACAAAGTAAATAAACTGTAATATAAATTTAAAAATAAATAAATAAACAGGAAAAAAATTCTGGCAATTACACAACTACAGCTTTCTATCCACAAAGATATTTCTGAAAGGATGGCTAAAAATAGGATTCCCAACACATCAACAGGAAAAGATAAGATGAAATATAATGTATTGAACTGGATTTGGTGGTGTAAACTTTAATCCCAGAACTCAGGAGGCAGAGGCAGGTAGATCTCTGAAGAGTTCAAGGCTAGCCTTACCTACATAGTGAGTTCCAGTCCAAAATGTTTTTATTTTTGTTGAATTCACAAGTAATTCATTTCTTTAAAACTCAATTTTTATTCCGTGGTGCTAGCAATTGAATCCAGGAACTTGTGCATACTTGGTCAGCTCTATACTGCAGAACTACATTTGTAGCCCTTAAAAACTTTTTCATTGAAAATTATTTATTTATTTACTTGCAGTGCTGGGGGCAGGGCCCAGCGCCTTTCAAATGCTAGGCAAGAGCTCTATCACTAATTTCTTTAACAGAAAATTGGAAAATGTGAAATAAATTGTAGGCTGGAACTGAAAATAGGCTACCATGTAACCACAACCCCAAAATAGCCATTACTAATAGATTTGTCTTTGAAAAATAAATATTTGTAAGTTCTAGGTGATCTAAAGGACATGTGTTGTCTGAATAGGAGTGGCCCTCACAGATTCGAGCGTTAGAATACTTGGGTGTGGCCTTGTTTGAGGAAGTTTGTCAATGTAGAGCACAGGCTTTGAGGTCTCAGAAACTCAAGTCAGTTCTCTTCCTGCTGCCTGTGGATCAAGATGTAGTGCTCTCGTTTCTTTCTGCAGCACCATGCCTTTCTTCATGCTGTCATGCTTCCTGCCATGATGATAATGGTCTAAACCTCCTCTGAAACTATAAACCAGCCCCAATTAAATGTTTTCCTTTCTAAGATTTGTGGTCATGGTGTCTCTTCACAGCAATAAAACCCTAACTAAGACAACATGAAACTGGTTGCATGTAACCAGGTAAAGAAGAGTCAGAATAGCTAAAAATGGCCTATTTAAAAGAGAGGAGAAGAAGCGCTTTAGGAATGCATGAAGGCAGTGAGTGATAGTAAACCTGGAAAGCACAGAGAAAACAATAAGAATTGTACCAACTAGAGTACTCTAAACTGAACAAGCTTCAGCCATGTGGCTCTCTGATGAGGGGAAGGGAAGCAGAATCCCCATCCACAATCATTTTGTTTTCTCCTCTCTGAGCTGTTCTAGGGAACTGAACCCTTCACTCTGAGTTGTCCTAGGGAACTGAAAAAGAGGCTGCTCAACCAAAATATCTCTGAGTAAAATTAATGAGACGTGCAAATTAATGAGCAGATGTGCAAATCTAATCACAGAAAACACACACAAAAAAATCAAGGCAACATGACTCATCCAAAAGAGCGCAGCTCCTCAGTTACTGAATTAAAAGATAAAGGAAATGAGTAGATATTACATAAAGATTACAAAAGTT